TTTTATTAATATATTATATTATATATTTTAAATATTATTATATATATTATATATATTATTATATACATTATTTTTTATTTATATAATTATTATATATTATTATATACATTATTATATATATTATTATATATATTATTTTTAAATATTATTATATATATCATTATTATATATATTATTATATATTTTAAATATTATTATATATATCATTATTATATATATTATTATATATTATTTTTATATTATATATATCATTATTATTAAATATTATTATTTTTAAATATATATATATTATTATTATATATATTATTATATACATTATTTTAAATATTATTATATATATATTATATATATTATATATATTATTTTATATTATTATATATATATTATTATATATATTTATTTTTTTTATTTTTTAAATATTATTATATATATCATTATTTATATATATTATTATATATATTATTTTTAAATATTATATATATATTATATATATATTATATATATTATTTTTAAATATATATATATTTTATTATATATATTATTATATTATTATTTTAAATATCATTATATATCATTATATATATTATTATATACATTATTTTTTATTATATATCATTATTATATATATTATTATATCATTATTTTTAAATATTATTATATATATATTATTATATATATATATATACATTTTTTAAATATTATTATATATATCATTATTATATATATTATTATATACATTATTTTTAAATATTATATATATCATTATTATATATATTATTACATTTTTTAAATATTATTATATATATCATTATTATATATGTTTATATACATTATTTTTTTAAATATTATTATATATATCATTATTATATATATTATTATATACATTATTTTTAAAATTATTATATATATCATTTATATATAATATTATATATATTTTATTATATACATTATATATTAATTATATTTTTATTTATATATATCATTATTATATATATTATTATATACATTATTTTAAATATTATTATATATCATTATTATATATATTATATACATTATATAAATATTATTATATATATCATATATATATTATTATATATATTATTTTTAAATATTATTATATATATCATTATTATATATATTATTATATATATTATTTTTAAATATTATTATATATATATTATTATTATTATATATTTTTAAATATTATTATATATATCATTATTATATTATTATATATTATTTTTTTATTAAATTATATATATTATTAAATATTATTTTTATATTATTTTATCATTATTATTATATTGTTATTATTTTAAATATTATTATATATATCATTATTATATATTATTATATAATTTCTAAATATTATTATATATATTATTATATATATTATTATTATTATATATACTATTATTATATATATTATTATATATATTATTTTTAAATATATTTAAATATGATTTTATATTTGTTTGTTGTTATTTTATTGTTTTTAGCGGCCGACGTAAACTCAAGTAAAACGACGTAAGGCGAGTTTTATTTTTCCATATAATATTTGAGAAAAACCGACGTATCTTCGAAAATGACTTAAGTGGAAACGACTTAAGCCGAGGTGTCTCTGTACTTGCTTTATTTTCACGCCTCCAATTTGTAGTTTGCATCTTGACTCTCCCTTTTGCTAATGACCATATATTCCATCTTTTTAAGATTGATGGTTAGTCCTTTCTTCTTGCTTTCCTTTGCTACTTTTTCTAGAAGTAGATCCAGTTTTCTTTCCCTGTTTGATAAAAATGCAGTGTCATCATCTAAGAAATAAAAAAAATGAGACAGAGAATATGCAACGCCAGTCCGTAAATTCCTATAAAACCAAAACTCGAGCGATATCCTTAAATCGTCAGATGAAGAATTTCATATGGATGTCATACATGGGACGTAACTCGTTCAGAAATATCTAAACGTTTGTTATCTAAAACTTCTTTCCCCAGATTAATGGTTAAAATGTCTATTGGGCGAGTGATGCCTAAGTTTTTTTTTTGCGAAGATCACACTTCTTTGAACCACAGCGGCAACAACTAAAATACATCTGTTAGTGCAAGAGAAAATAATGCGTAAACGAGATGTTGACATTCGACACAACTTCAAATAAAAGACTGGAAAGTAACTCCAATCAACACTGGATAATTTGCAAGATTAGAGAAACATTCCTGGAAAATTCTTTTGAGAGAATGTTTTTGTAAATTTCCACCGACAGTAAGTAGTAGCTGTTTGATCATAGACTACCGAATATTTCCTTATAAAAAAAAAAAACAAAAAAACAGCTAATACTAAAATTCCCCATTTCTGTTCCAGTCAAAATGCAGTGTAGCGCATGATTTTGAGTCGTTTCAGATACACTCTTCTTGATCCCGCCAATAAAATACGAGCTGAAACATGCTTCATGACAATGCTTAAAGATAGTTTTTTACGCTTGATCTTACATCGTTTCTGACTCTTGCTTCGTGATCCTGTCAGAAGGAAGTTCAAACGTTTTCTAGCATCGTTTCTGACTCTTGCTTCGTGATCCTGTCAGAAGGAAGTTCAAACGTTTTCTAGCATCGTTTCTGACTCTTGCTTCGTGATCCTGTCAGAAGGAAGTTCAAACGTTTTCTAGCATCGTTTCTGACTCTTGCTTCGTGACCCTGTCAGAAGGAAGTTCAAACGTTTTCTAGCATCGTTTCTGACTCTTGCTTCGTGATCCTGTCAGAAGGAAGTTCAAACGTTTTCTAGCATCGTTTCTGACTCTTGCTTCGTGATCCTGTCACAAGGAAGTTCAAGCGTTTTCTAGCATCGTTTCTGACTCTTGCTTCGTGATCCTGTCAGAAGGAAGTTCAAACGTTTTCTAGCATCGTTTCTGACTCTTGCTTCGTGATCCTGTCAGAAGGAAGTTCAAACGTTTTCTAGCATCGTTTCTGACTCTTGCTTCGTGATCCTGTCAGAAGGAAGTTCAAACGTTTTCTAGCATCGTTTCTGATTCTTGCTTCCTATCCTGTCAGGAAAGTAGTTTGAGTTTATCTTGCATCGTTTCTAACTCTTGTTTCCTGAACCTGCCATGAAGGTGGCTTAATCTTTATCTTCCATCGTTTCGGATTTATGCTTCCTGGTCCTAACAATAAGGCAATTTATGCTTTATCTTGCATCGATTTTGACTGTTGCTTCCTGATCGTGGCAAGAAGTCGGTTTAATTTTTATCTTCCATCGTTTCTCATTTATGCTTCGTGATCTTGTCAAGAAGACAGTTTTATCTTTATCTTGCAGAGTTTCTGATTCTTGATCCTAACAATAAGGCACTTTAAGCTTTATCTTGCATTGATTCTGACTGTTGCTTCCTTATCGTGGCAAGAAGTCGGTTTAATCTTTATCTTCCATCGTTTCTCATTTATGCTTCGTGATCTTTTCAAGAGGACAGTTTTATCTTTATCTTGCTTAGTTTCTGATTCTTGCTTCTTGATCCTAACAAGAAGGCAATTTAAACTTTATCTTGCATTGTTTCTGACTGCTGCTTCCTGATCCTGTCAAGAAGACAGTTTAAACTTTATCTTACATTGTTTCTGATTCTTGATTCGTGATCCTGTCAGAAGGCAGTTTAAAGATTTCTTTGCATCGTTTCTGACTGTTGCTTCCTGATCCTGTCTGGAAAGCAATTCAAACATTTTCTTGCATCGCTTCTGACTGTTGCTTCCTGATCCTGATAGGAGGAAAGTTCAAACATTTTCTTGCATTGTTTCCGACTCTTGCTTCTTGATCTTGTGACGAGGACAGTTTAAGCTTTTTCGTGCATTGATTCTGATTCTTATTTCCTTATCCTCTCAAGAAGTCAGTTTAAACTTCTTGCATCGTTTCTGATTCTGGCTTCCTTATCCGGTTAAGAAAGCAGTTTATGCTTTTTCGTGAATTGATTCTGATTCTTGTTTTCTGATCTTGTCAGGAGGCAATCTAAGCTTTATCGTGTATTGTTTCTTATTCTTGCTTCTTGATCCTGTCAAGAAGGCAATTTTAGCTTTATTTTAATTTCTTTCTGACTCGCGCTTCTTGATCCTGGCAATGAGTCAGTTTAAACTTTATCTTGTATCGTTTTTTACTCTTGCTTCTTGATCTTGTTAGGAAGGCAGTTCAAACATTTTCTTGCATCATTTCTGATTCTTGCTTCCTGCTGCTGTTAATGAGGCAGTTCAAACATTTTCTTGCATCGTTTCTGACACTTACTGCCTGAACCTGTTAGGAAAACAGTTCAAACATTTACTTGCAACGTTTCTGACTTTTGCTTCCTGATCCTGTTAGAAAGACAGTTCAAACATTTTCTTGTATCATTTCTGACTTTTACTTCCTGATCCTGTTAATGAGGCAGTTCAAACATTTTCTTGCGTCGTTTTTGTCACTTGCTTCCTGATCCTGTTAGAAAGACAGTTCAAACATTTTCTTGCATCGTTTCTGACTTTTGCTTCCTGATCCTGTTAATGGGACAGTTCAAACATTTTATTGCATCGTTTCTGACACTTGCTTCCTGATTCGGTTAGAAAGACAGTTCAAACATTTTCTTGTATCGCTTCTGACTCTTTCTTCCTGGTCCTTTTAGGAAGACAGTTCAAATTTTATTTTATATCGATTCTGATTGTTGCTTTCTTATGCTGTCAAGAAGACCTTTTAAGCATTATCTTGCATTGTTTCCGATTCTAACTTCCAAACCCCGCACCAATCAGTTTTACGCTCTATCTTAAATCATTTCAGGCAGTTTGATGTGTTAATTTGCATTGTTTCTGACACATGCCTGCTTACATTTCGAAGACATTTTCCACGCGTCTAATTTCATACATTGGACAACCCTTTGCCTAGCACGTTCAAGAGACAATTTGGACGCATTATATCCGCTAGATGAAAATAAAATAAAGTGTCCCCCCTTTAATTTTCCCTCGTCGTTTCAATTCATTCATAAATAGAGGCCTGTACATTGAAATTATCTGATGGTTTTTCGATTATCTCTATTTTTCGTCAAGGTCAGAATGTTAACAGGATCTGCTATTTTTCGCAAACAAAAATGGCAAAAAGAAAAGATATTTAACACTTACAAATGGTTGAGCGATTTCAAATTGGCAAAGGCCATGACGCCGATCGTGTGAATTTCATTGTGATGTAGAAACCTGGAATGTAACAAGAAAACAAATCCTTTAGAAGCGCATAATATAATATTACTGCAATAATATGTTCCTGGTGGAAATTACAACAGGTCTGCGCAAACTAAGCGCCAAAGGCACCCCAAACCCCAATGATCGTTTTATCCGACCCCAGAAAAACAGCAAATGTTATTTTTTAAATGTCCATTGAAAAAAATAGCAATTTCTTAAAAAAAAAAAAAACGAAATCCGAAGTTAAGCAACGTCAATCTTGGCCAGTACCTAAATGGGTGACCGCTAGGGGATACCAGGAAGGGCCGGTACGTACTATTCCCGGACTCTGCGACCCGGGTAAGTCCCAAAAAGGAGGCACGGTGGAGTAATGGATAGCGACTAAAGAAGGCACGGTGGAGTAATGGATAGCGGCTTGGAGTGAAGAATCGGAGAGCCGAGTTCGAATTCCAGTCGAATCCATTACATTCACTTACGTGCTAATACCCTTGGGAAAGATATGAAACCTCTTCATCTCCCCCTCCCCCCCGGCGAGGCATTTAAATACCAGGTTGGAATCTAGCACGGGATAGTCTTTCTTAGATGAGGGTGAATGGAGTCTCTCTGAGTCTTGGTTGGCAATCCATTTAGTGTTGGTGTCACGATAAAAACACCCTTGATAGCCCTAGCGAAGCATCAAGAATTCAGCTATTTGACAAGATTACGAACTACACCAATCAAAGTATTGAAGATAGCGACTAGAAAAGTGTAGTGAGTTCAATCTCAGCTGAGGCCGCAAAACAACAACAAAGTCCTAACCTGATTGGGGGCTCCAAGCAGTGCTTTGTTACCCTCGCTATCTTATCAAATTTTTTTTATTTACTTATTTATCTATATTTATATACGTTACAAATGAAACTAAGAATAACTGACTATTAAAAAGTTTTGACGTCATTCTGGGGTCTTTTGTTGTTTTTTGTCCAAATACGGGAAATTGTTTTTTATTTTTTATTTTTTGTTAATGCCAAGTTTTGAAAAATATTTATTTTAGATTCACTATTTTTCCATCCACAATTTGTTAAAATTATTCAGCTTTTTAACAAGAGAAATCTCAAGTTGATGCTAAAAATGGCTTCAAAAACTGTTGATTTATTTAAGATGGGATGATCTATTATGACATGTTTTTAATTTATATTTAGATACATTGGATTTATTTTCAATTTTTCGAGTTGAATTGTTCACGTATATTGCATATGATCCATTATTTTATATAAATAGGTTATAAAAAAAATTGTATTTTATATGAATACAACCTTATAACAATTTAGATTTCGTAGAATGAAGGACCCATATCAATGATTTGCTTTGCTCAGACGAAGTCCTGAAAAAAACAAAAAACAAAAAAAAAACACAATATAAAATTCGCTATTTTTATCCATAATGCTGAATGTGTTAAAATTCTTCAACTTTCTAACAAGAGAAATCCCAAGTTAATTTAAAAAATTGCCGCAAAACATTCTTGATTTATTTCAGATGGAATGATCTATTATGACATGTTTCTAATTTGTATTTAGATACATTCTATTTATTTACAAATTTTCGAGTTAAATTGTTCACCGATATTGTATATGATTCATTATTGTACATGATTAGGTTAGAATAAAATTTATATTTTATATAGATATTCAGTTATGTGCCATGCGTGATACACGCTTAGGCGATCATGTATCTTTCGGTCCATGACTGACGAGGCAGATTTTTTCTGCAGTATGTTTCCATTTCTTTCTGCGATAGACCAATTACCATCCCAGGCTCTAGAACCCGGTCTGTCCTGCTATTTACCCGTAGCTGTGGAGAGAAGACGAGCGTCAATACATTTCCAAAGCACGTAAGTGAATATAATGGATTCGACTGGAATTCGAACTCGGCTCTCCGATTCCTCAATCCGTGCCTCTATCCATTAGTCCACTGTGTCTCCTTATATGATTATTAGGTTATGAAAATTGCGATGTAGTAGATTCTGGGGGTGGGGATTAGACCCTAGCACTGTTCCTGGTTATTGTAATGTTTTGTTAAAGTTGTTAAGCTTAAATATTTAACGATTCAATAGGGGAATTTCTACGGGTCGTTGAACTCGAAAGATAATAATAACTTATGAAAATTGAGATGTAGTAAGGTTGGGGTGCGTATCATAGAGGGTGTGGTGTACCATAGATTTATAAGGGGGCAAGAAACCTCTGCACTGGTTCTGATACCAGGTACTGTCATCTTAGATGTGCGGATGGAATGAATTTCTTTCTGCCATATCAAGTCTCAAACACCGATTCTTGTAAAAGTTAAACAAGGTCGAGCGAATTCAAGTAGAAAAAGATGAGACTTGCTACCAATCTAGTACCGCGCTTAAATTCGTAAAACCTAGGTACCATACGGCAAAGTTTATCTGAATAATTACCTTGAAATTACTTATAGAAAAAGCAGAGGGAACTACATTACAGCAGTAGGAAAGGGACTGAAGCCGGGATGCCAGATCAGTACCAATAATATTGCTAAATATTAGTTAATGATAATAATACAAACAATAATGTCTTCTGATGAATATGAGAAATATAACAGTGTCATAAATATGACAATACAATCTGATAAATATATAACTGTTAAAGAATTATAAAAAATTATTTTAACCCGAATGAGGCGATGAACCACAGGGAAGCAAGAGTTTATTGAGTGTAAAATAATCTAAGAAAAATGTTAAGGTGAGAAAACAATAAAAGACAAGGAATTAAGAAGACAGAAGATAACGATTGACATTGCATTTAAATTTTTGAAGATCAAAGTTGGCTGGAAAGCAAGAAGCTGGAAGAGAGTTCAATTGGCTAAATTGTTTTTAATCATATTTAATGCAAGGCAGTAAAGCCACTAAAATACAACGGCGTACTGAGTGTGGAGGAATAAGTAAAAAGTGGAATATTATTAAGGAGAGAGAACAATAGAAGAGTAATCAAGAGGACTTTAGATAACGATTAACAGTAAAGCCATAAAGACACAAGTGGCTACTGAGTGTGAAAGAATAAGAAAAAACTGAAATATTATTAAGGAGAGAGAACAATAGAAGAGTAATCAAGAGGAGAGTAGATAACGATTGACAGTAAAGCCATAAAGACACAAGGGGCTACTGAGTCTGAAAGAATAAAAAAAAAGTGAAATATTATTAAGGAGGGAGAACAATAGAAGAGTAATCAAGAGGACAGTAGATAACGATTGACATTAAAGCCATAAAGACACAAGGGGCTACTGAGTATGAAAGAATAAGAAAAAAGTGAAATATTATTAAGGAGCAAGAACAATAGAAGAGTAATCAAGAGGGGAGTAGATAACGATTGACAGTAAAGCCATAAAGACACGAGGGGCTACTGAGCGTGAAAGAATAAGAAAAAGTGAAATATTATTAAGGAGCGAGAACAATAGAAAATTAATCAAGAGGAGAGTGGATAACGATTGACAGTTAAGCCATAAAGACACAAGGGGCTACTGAGTATGAAAGAATAAGTGAAATATTATTAAGGAGAGAGAACAACAGAAGAGTAATCGAGAGGACAGTAGATAACGATTGTCATTGCATTTGAATTTTTGCATACCAAATTTAACTGGAAACCAAGAAGCTGGAAGAGATTTCCACGAGCAAGAAATGCGAGAGAAGAAACTCTCAGCATAGAACTTACGGTTACATCTAGCTATTTTAACTGTAAAATGATGAAATCTTGCTGCTCATTTAGTACTGAACTTAAATTCATAAATTCGAGGTACCAAAGAGGAAATGTCTTTTAATCAATTACCAATATTTCATGGAATGTCACAGGGATGCCATCTTGCAGCTGTGGAAAATTGAATGAAGACAAAAAGCCCGGTTAGGACCTCTGACATTGCAGATTCCTCTTTGCATTTTGAATTCTCTCAGAATCACCGGACAGAATTCTTTTGGCTTTTTTTTACAGAGTATCTGTTTGTTTGTTTTTTTCAGATAATTTAGGGCCTGAAATATTTTCATATTCTAAGCATGTTTTGGAGATAATAAGGATTTCCTTGTACAAATCCTACTATTTAACCCATAGGCAGATTGGTGAAGATGTGGTTTCATAACTTTCCCAAGGGTATTCAGGCATAAGTGATTCCAACGAACCTAACAAGAATTAGAACTCTGCTCTCCGAGTTCCAATTCCGGGCGATTACCTATAATAACATCAGCACATCCGAGCTTACTGTAGTGATGCATCTAGGTACTGACCAGGCTCAACGTTGCTTAACTTCGGTTATCGTACAAGAATTAGTGTTTCAATGTGATACGACCATAAACCGACAGAAAATTCCAATGAATGGACGAATGGTAGACTTATTCGAGCGTGGGCTGAAAAGTTCATAGGCTGACTATGAAGGAGTGATGCTAGAGCTGTTTGATCTTACATGCATTCATTTCAACTCTTCTTATTAATAACTGCATTGTTTCTTTCCAGGTATGACGATGGGCTGAAATGTTCATAGGCTGACTATGAAGGACTGATGCTAGTGCTGTGAAATGTTGCAGGCATTCATTTCAACTCTTCTTGTTAATAACTGCATTGTTTCTTTCCAGGTACGAGGGTTGGCTGAAATGTTCATAGGCTGACTATGAAGGAGTGATGTTAGAGCTGTGAAATCTAGCAGGCATTCATTTCAACTCTTCTTATTAATAACTGCATTGTTTCTTTCCAGGTATGACGATGGGCTGAAATGTTCATAGGCTGACTATGAAGGACTGATGCTAGAGCTGTGAAATCTTGCAGGCATTCATTTCAACTCTTCTTATTAATAACTGCATTGTTTCTTTCCAGGTATGACGATGGGCTGAAATGTTCATAGGCTGACTATGAAGGAGTGATGCTAGAGCTGTGAAATCTAGCAGGCATTCATTTCAACTCTTCTTATTAATAACTGCATTGTTTCTCTCTGTTTTATGAGGTTGGGCTGAAATGTTCATAGGCTGACTATGAAGGAATGATGCTAGAGCTGTGAAATCTTGCAGGCATTCATTTCAACTCTTCTTATTAATAACTGCATTGTTTCTCTCTGTTTTATGAGGTTGGGCTGAAATGTTCATAGGCTGACTATGAAGGAGTGATGCTAGGGATGTGAAATCTTGCAGGCATTCATTTCAACACTTCTTATTAATAACTGCTTTGTTTCTTTCCAGGTATGACGGTGGGCTGAAATGTTCATAGGCTGACTATGAAGGAGTGATGCTAGGGGTGTGAAATCTTGCAGGCATTCATTTCAACTCTTCTTATTAATAACTGCATTTTTTCTTTCCAGGTATGAGGATGGGCTGAAAAGTTCATAGGCTGACTATGAAGGAGTGATGCTAGAGCCGTGAAATCTTGCATGCATTCATTTCAACTCTTCTTATTAATAACTGCATTTTTTCTTTCCAGGTATGAGGATGGGCTGAAAAGTTCATAGGCTGACTATGAAGGAGTGATGCTAGGGCTGTGAAATGTTGCAGGCATTCATTTCAACTCTTCTTATTAATAACAGCATTGATTCTTTCCATGTAAACTGACATCTGACTGTTCAAAGACCATCCTGTTGGTCAAAAAAGTAATCAACAGCGGATGTGACGTCATCATCACTGCAATTCTGATTCCATACCAAGTGTTTTTTCATGTTGCTGACGACATGACAGTTGAATCAGGAGAATAGTGAGGGTGATCAATCAGTTGAAAGCCACATTCTCGCACAGCAGCCATTAAAAACAAGGACTTGTGTTCTGGAGCATTGATCTGATGAAGCAAGTTTTCCAGGGAATTTGTTCATAATTGCCTCGGCAATTTGGTCGTCTCCATTGATGGTGTAGTCAATTCCTTCCTTCCTTCCTCCCTTCCTTCCTTCCTTCCTTCCTTCCTTCCTTTGCTTTAACTCTCTTTTTTATCCTTCGTCCTTTCTTTCTTTCTTTCTTTCTTTCTTTCACTTTCTTTTTTCTCCTTCGTCCTTTCTTCTTTCTTTCTTTGTTTTTCTTTCTTTCTTTCTTTCTTTCTTTCTTTCTTTCTTTCTGTGCTTTCATCTTCGTCCTTTCTTTCTTTCTTTCCGTGCTTTCAACTTCGTCCTATCTTTCTTTCTTTCTTTCTTTCTTTCTTTCTTTCTTTCTTTCTTTCTTTCTTTCTTCTCTTTTGTTCTTTCTTTCTGTGCTTTCTTCTTCGTCCTTTCTTTCTTTATTTCTTTCTTTCTTTTTGTGATTTCACTTTCTTCATTCTTCTTCTTTTCTTTCTTTCTTTTTTGCTTTCTTTCTTTATTTCTTTCCTTCTTTCTTTCTTTCCGTGCTTTCAACTTCGTCCTATCTTTCTTACTTTCTTTTTTTCTTTCTTCTCCTTCATCCGATATTTCTTTCTTTCTTTCTTTTTTTCTTTCTTTTCCCTCGTTCTCTTCGGCCTTTCTTTTCTCAGTTTTCCTTCTCCAGTTCCCATTTCTTTTTTCCCTCTTTCTTCCTTCCTTCTTTATTTCTTTTTCTTATTCAATTCATTTTTTCTTTTTTCGTTGATTCTTTCCTTTTATTTACATATTTTTCTCTTGTCTATCTTTACTTTTTTTTGCTTTTCTTTCTTTTATTCTTTCTTTCGTTCTTTCATTTTTTATTGCTCTTTCTTTTATTCTTACTTTTGTCATTGTGATTGTAATTTTCGCCAGGAAACGACCTTGGCCTTCTTTAGAGCTGAAAAGAAGGATTATTTCCTCAAAATGCATTAATTCTTCATCTCAGGCTCAAAGTAACAAACCAAACATGCTCAAGGAAACCAGATAAATCGACTTCAAACAATGACAAATTCCCCGTCATTTGTTCAGCCTGATATGGTTTCTGTAATTTGGTACAGTTCTTTGTGATTCTGTAGCGCCAGTTCAAAATGTTTCATTTTCTTCGGTTTCTTTCTTTCTTTCTTTCTTTCTTTCTTTCTTTCTTAGCTTTCACTTTCTTCATTCTCCTTCATCCGTTCTTTCTTTCTTTCTTTCTTATTTCTTTCTTTCTGAGCTTCCACTTTCTTCATTCTCCTTCATCCGTTCTTTCTTTCTTTCTTTCTTTCTTTCTTTCTTTCTTTCTTTCTTTCTTAGCATTCACTTTCTTCATTCTCCTTCATCCGTTCTTTCTTTCTTTCTTTCTTTTCTTTAACTTTCTTTTTTCTTATTCTCACTTTCATCCGTTCTTTTTTTCTTTCTTTCTTAGCTTTCACTTTCTTCATTCTCCTTCATCCGTTTCTTTCTTTCTTTTCTTTTTTTTCTTTCTTTTTTCACTTTCTTCATTCTCCTTCATCCGTTCTTTATTTCTTTCTTTCTTTCTTT